CCGGCCTCATGCTCCTCCTCGTGGCTCTGCTCCTCGTCGTTCCACCAATTTTAGGTCTTCTCAACCTCGTGGGCCTCACTTTGTTGGCACTACCCGACCCCCATCCTATCGTTCTCCACCTAGTTCTGCCAATGGTCTATTAGGCCCTGTACCATCCCCTCGTGGACCTCGTCAATGCTGGACTTGTCAACAGTTTGGTCATATTGCTGCTCAATGTCCCCAAACTACGGATTTGTCGCGCACCTTTGCTGGCCTACATGTCACTCAACCTACTGATTCCGCTTGGTACCTTGACTCGGGAGCCACCAATCATATGACTCATGCTCATCCTTCTGTTTCTTCTATTGCCTCTTCTGACCAAGTTGTTGTCGGTAATGGTGCATCTCTTCCTATTACCCAGTCCGGTAACATTTCCTTTTCTTCTGGTAATTTTGTTTTCCGTCTCTCTGATGTTCTTCATGTCCCTTCTCTTTGCAAAAATCTTTTGTCTGTTGCTCAACTCACTCGGGATCTTCTTGTTCGTATTACTTTTTATCCTTGGGGTTATAATATTTGTGACTTACATTCTGGTAAAATTCTTTTTCAGGGCCAATGTAAAGATGGTCTATATCTCGTCTTACCGTCTACCTTTCCATCCTTTAAGTCCCCGCAAGCTCTCGTCTCCACTATCAATCCATCCTCCATATGGCATCATCGTCTTGGTCACCCTTCTGATCGTGTTCTTGGCTATCTTGTTACCCAATCCTTGTTAGGCTCTCATTTTTCTTTGAAATCCAATAAATGTACTCATTGTGCACTTGCTAAATCTACTCGTCTTTCTTTTTTTTCTCATGATCATTGGTCCAATGCTCCATTTGATTTAATACATTCTGATGTCTGGATGTCTCCTACTACCTCTGTCTCTGGATTCCGGTATTATGTTATCTTTACGGATGATTATACTCGTTACACATGGCTTTTTCCAATACGCCAAAAATCAGAAGTTTTCTCTCATTTTTCTAACTTTGTCACTTATGTGCAAACTCAATTTTCATCCTCTGTTAAACAATTCCAAAGTGATGGTGGCAAAGAATTTGATAATTTGATGTTCAGAAATTTTTGTACACAAAAGGGCATTTTACATAGATTTTCTTGTCCCCATACACCACAGCAAAATGGCCTTGCCGAAAGAAAACATCGTCATATCGCTGACATGGGTCACACTCTCCTTCAAACCTCTCAAGTTCCTCTCAACTTATGGGTTGAAGCCCTTTGCACTGCTGTCCATTTAATAAATCGTCTTCCAACTCATACTCTTCAATGGGTTTCTCCATTTTTCAAACTCTATGGCAAACACCCTGATTATTCTCTCCTTCGTACATTTGGATGTGCTTGCTTTCCCTACCTTGGGGATTATGTTTCTAACAAATTACTACCTCGTTCTTTAGCTTGTATTTTTGTAGGTTATAATGATCACTATCGTGGCTACCGATGCCTCCATCTTCCCACCGGTCGTCTCTACACATCCCGCCATGTTGTGTTTCATGAAGACTCATTTCCTTGTGCCACTGCTACGAATTCCTCACCACAAGCTACAGACCTTGTTTTTGTTCCTGTTGGGCTACCACCAATTAATTCTCACTCTGATGGGCCTTCATCCAACACTCTCCCAGTTGGCCCAACACATCTCTCAGCTGGCCCAGACTTACCACCAATGTCTTTACCTCTTGCTGATACGCTCGCATCGTCTTCAACCTCCATCCAATCTGCGGCCACAACACCTCCAGCATTGCCCAGCCTAGTTTCCTCGCCAGCGACGCCTCCCACGTCGTCTAGCCCAGTCTTGTCTCCCTCGTCACCTCCCGCACCGCCCAGCACCACTTTACCTCCCTTGTCGCACAGCCCAGATTCGCTCCCTCCTGCTTCACCCGAATTTGCCCCACCCGGGCCTCTTGCTCCCCAACCTTCTCCGTCATCTTCTCCGCTGTCCTCCGACCAGCCCATCTCTTCTTCACCACCGGTGCCACCTCCCCCTATTGGTCGCATGAGTCCAGTTCATACTCGCTCTCACTCTGGCATAGTAAAACCCAATCCGAAATATCAGTCTCATTTTTCAGCTCGTTATCCAATTCCACAGGCTCTCATGGCGTCAGCAGCATCAGAAATTGAACCCACTTGTTACACAGAGGCATCCAAGTCTCCTCACTGGCGGCAGGCCATGCTCGACGAGTTCAATGCTCTTCTTCGCCAAGGCACATGGTCTCTTGTTCCATCTTCTTCTAATCAAAACACCGTAGGCTGCAAATGGGTATTCAAAATCAAACGACGCTCTGATGGCTCGCTCGAACGGTATAAAGCTCGCCTAGTTGCTAAAGGCTTCCATCAGCAATCCGGGATTGATTATTTTGACACGTTCAGCCCAGTGGTCAAGCCAACCACTATCCGCACCATTTTGAGCATTGCTGTCTCTTGTGGTTGGGGCATTCGTCAACTTGACATTAAAAATGCTTTCCTGCACGGTTATCTCTCTGAGGCAGTTTTTATGCAACAACCACCTGGCTTCATTGATCCTCAAAGACCCACTCATGTCTGCCAACTCCATAAGGCCATTTATGGTCTTAAGCAAGCTCCCCGGGCTTGGTTTCAGAGGTTCAGTAACTTTCTCCTTCAGGTTGGTTTCATTCAAAGTCGCTCTGATTCCTCCTTGTTTGTGTATCGTGATGGCTCGCATTTAATGATTTTACTCCTCTATGTTGACGATATCGTACTTACTGGAAATACACCCTCTCAACTCTCTGCTTTTATCACTACTCTTGCTGCTGAATTCGAGGTTACTGATCTTGGCTCGATTAATTATTTCCTTGGCATCGAAGTGTCCCATTTGAAAGATTCTGTTCACCTTACACAAAATAAATATACTCTCGATCTTCTCCGGAAAAGTAATCTTCTAGAGTGTAAACCCGTCTCCACTCCCATGGCCTCACGAACCTCCGCCTCTCGCACTGATGGGTCTCCCCTTGCTGATCCAACTCATTATCGCCAAATCGTCGGTGCTCTTCAATATCTTACCATCACTCGACCTGATATAGCCTATGCCGTTCAACATGTTTCTCAATTCATGAGTTCTCCTAGTGATACACATTTGGAAGCTGTGAAGCGCATACTTCGTTATCTCAAAGGCACTCTTGGTCATGGTTTATCCCTTTACCGTTCCGCTAATCCTTCACTCCTCATTGCATATTCTGATGCCGATTGGGCAGGGTGTCTAGACACCCGTCGCTCCACTACAGGGTATTGTATATTTTTGGGGCCCAATCTCATTTCATGGAGTGCCAAGAAACAACGTACCGTCTCTCGCTCTAGTGCCGAAGCCGAATACCGTGCTCTAGCTTATGCATGTGCTGATACTATTTGGATCCAAGGCCTGTTACGTGAACTTCGGTATCCTCTCCCTCGTCCGGTTCTCCTTAATTGTGATAATCTTTCCACTACTTACATGGCTGCTAATCCGGTCTTTCATTCCCGCACCAAACATATTGGCCTTGATTATCACTTTGTTCGCGAACGCATTGCCAGTGGCAGTCATCAAGTTCAATTTATTCCTTCCACACAACAACTGGCTGACGTTTTCACCAAAGGCTTACCCACGGATCGGTTCCAGCGTCTCGTTTCCAACCTTGTCACCTCCCCGGCGTCAAGTTTGCGGGGGAATGTTAGGGAGTTACACCAGTAATCACCAAATCAATGAGACCCATTCAATATGCTCTGTAACAGTTTTCAGTTATGTAATTAATTATGTAATTTACTCTGTCATTAGTATAGGGCTGTTACTCTAGTCATTACTGTATAAATATTGTATCCATGTATCATTGACAGATATGAGAAAATAAACCTTTTCTACATCTTATCATGGGCTTTGTTTGCTTTTGCTTAACCCAATTCTTAAGCCTAATCCTCTTGAATCAATAAATAATGAAGCAGTGTCCTTAACATGACGGTAAATAATATTATGAAATCTTTTTGCTTTCTAACGTTTAATGGGAAGCCTAAAGATGAATCGCTTCATCGATTTTTGCTTTCTTGACAGCTTCAATAGTTGTGTGAGGAAAATCAATATCATCTTAACTCTTCTATGTAATAGTTATAAGTAAAAGAGTCATGGAGTGGTGAAAATATGGCAAATATTTATAAGAATCAGTGAGAAAAAAATATTTACCCAACCAGCTCATGATTTGAGACCCACCTAAACTCTTTCAATACATCTTAGGCTAACTCTTTAATTTTGAGGGAAAGCTTAGGCTAACTCTTTAATTTTGGGGTAAACTCAAGCTTTTTTTGTCTGTCATTGTCCAAACTCAGGTTTAAATATTAATGAATTGATTCATGTAGCAATATTGGTGTTGTTTAATAGTGGGCCAATGACCTGTTCCTCTGAATCTTAACATAATTGTTAGTGCAGCAATCAAGCCCGGTCAACTCTCCTCCAATTCCTCTGCAAGATCTTCTCCTTCATTGCATTGATTAGATATTCGCTGTCACTGATTCTAATTACTGATTCATTGTAATTGATTGTATTTTATATTTCTTACCTTTTGTATCTCTAACACTCTCCTTCAAACCTCTCAAGTTCCTCTCAACTTATGGGTTGAAGCCCTTTGCACTGCTGTCCATTTAATAAATCGTCTTCCAACTCATACTCTTCAATGGGTTTCTCCATTTTTCAAACTCTATGGCAAACACCCTGATTATTCTCTCCTTCGTACATTTGGATGTGCTTGCTTTCCCTACCTTGGGGATTATGTTTCTAACAAATTACTACCTCGTTCTTTAGCTTGTATTTTTGTAGGTTATAATGATCACTATCGTGGCTACCGATGCCTCCATCTTCCCACCGGTCGTCTCTACACATCCCGCCATGTTGTGTTTCATGAAGACTCATTTCCTTGTGCCACTGCTACGAATTCCTCACCACAAGCTACAGACCTTGTTTTTGTTCCTGTTGGGCTACCACCAATTAATTCTCACTCTGATGGGCCTTCATCCAACACTCTCCCAGTTGGCCCAACACATCTCTCAGCTGGCCCAGACTTACCACCAATGTCTTTACCTCTTGCTGATACGCTCGCATCGTCTTCAACCTCCATCCAATCTGCGGCCACAACACCTCCAGCATTGCCCAGCCTAGTTTCCTCGCCAGCGACGCCTCCCACGTCGTCTAGCCCAGTCTTGTCTCCCTCGTCACCTCCCGCACCGCCCAGCACCACTTTACCTCCCTTGTCGCACAGCCCAGATTCGCTCCCTCCTGCTTCACCCGAATTTGCCCCACCCGGGCCTCTTGCTCCCCAACCTTCTCCGTCATCTTCTCCGCTGTCCTCCGACCAGCCCATCTCTTCTTCACCACCGGTGCCACCTCCCCCTATTGGTCGCATGAGTCCAGTTCATACTCGCTCTCACTCTGGCATAGTAAAACCCAATCCGAAATATCAGTCTCATTTTTCAGCTCGTTATCCAATTCCACAGGCTCTCATGGCGTCAGCAGCATCAGAAATTGAACCCACTTGTTACACAGAGGCATCCAAGTCTCCTCACTGGCGGCAGGCCATGCTCGACGAGTTCAATGCTCTTCTTCGCCAAGGCACATGGTCTCTTGTTCCATCTTCTTCTAATCAAAACACCGTAGGCTGCAAATGGGTATTCAAAATCAAACGACGCTCTGATGGCTCGCTCGAACGGTATAAAGCTCGCCTAGTTGCTAAAGGCTTCCATCAGCAATCCGGGATTGATTATTTTGACACGTTCAGCCCAGTGGTCAAGCCAACCACTATCCGCACCATTTTGAGCATTGCTGTCTCTTGTGGTTGGGGCATTCGTCAACTTGACATTAAAAATGCTTTCCTGCACGGTTATCTCTCTGAGGCAGTTTTTATGCAACAACCACCTGGCTTCATTGATCCTCAAAGACCCACTCATGTCTGCCAACTCCATAAGGCCATTTATGGTCTTAAGCAAGCTCCCCGGGCTTGGTTTCAGAGGTTCAGTAACTTTCTCCTTCAGGTTGGTTTCATTCAAAGTCGCTCTGATTCCTCCTTGTTTGTGTATCGTGATGGCTCGCATTTAATGATTTTACTCCTCTATGTTGACGATATCGTACTTACTGGAAATACACCCTCTCAACTCTCTGCTTTTATCACTACTCTTGCTGCTGAATTCGAGGTTACTGATCTTGGCTCGATTAATTATTTCCTTGGCATCGAAGTGTCCCATTTGAAAGATTCTGTTCACCTTACACAAAATAAATATACTCTCGATCTTCTCCGGAAAAGTAATCTTCTAGAGTGTAAACCCGTCTCCACTCCCATGGCCTCACGAACCTCCGCCTCTCGCACTGATGGGTCTCCCCTTGCTGATCCAACTCATTATCGCCAAATCGTCGGTGCTCTTCAATATCTTACCATCACTCGACCTGATATAGCCTATGCCGTTCAACATGTTTCTCAATTCATGAGTTCTCCTAGTGATACACATTTGGAAGCTGTGAAGCGCATACTTCGTTATCTCAAAGGCACTCTTGGTCATGGTTTATCCCTTTACCGTTCCGCTAATCCTTCACTCCTCATTGCATATTCTGATGCCGATTGGGCAGGGTGTCTAGACACCCGTCGCTCCACTACAGGGTATTGTATATTTTTGGGGCCCAATCTCATTTCATGGAGTGCCAAGAAACAACGTACCGTCTCTCGCTCTAGTGCCGAAGCCGAATACCGTGCTCTAGCTTATGCATGTGCTGATACTATTTGGATCCAAGGCCTGTTACGTGAACTTCGGTATCCTCTCCCTCGTCCGGTTCTCCTTAATTGTGATAATCTTTCCACTACTTACATGGCTGCTAATCCGGTCTTTCATTCCCGCACCAAACATATTGGCCTTGATTATCACTTTGTTCGCGAACGCATTGCCAGTGGCAGTCATCAAGTTCAATTTATTCCTTCCACACAACAACTGGCTGACGTTTTCACCAAAGGCTTACCCACGGATCGGTTCCAGCGTCTCGTTTCCAACCTTGTCACCTCCCCGGCGTCAAGTTTGCGGGGGAATGTTAGGGAGTTACACCAGTAATCACCAAATCAATGAGACCCATTCAATATGCTCTGTAACAGTTTTCAGTTATGTAATTAATTATGTAATTTACTCTGTCATTAGTATAGGGCTGTTACTCTAGTCATTACTGTATAAATATTGTATCCATGTATCATTGACAGATATGAGAAAATAAACCTTTTCTACATCTTATCATGGGCTTTGTTTGCTTTTGCTTAACCCAATTCTTAAGCCTAATCCTCTTGAATCAATAAATAATGAAGCAGTGTCCTTAACATGACGGTAAATAATATTATGAAATCTTTTTGCTTTCTAACGTTTAATGGGAAGCCTAAAGATGAATCGCTTCATCGATTTTTGCTTTCTTGACAGCTTCAATAGTTGTGTGAGGAAAATCAATATCATCTTAACTCTTCTATGTAATAGTTATAAGTAAAAGAGTCATGGAGTGGTGAAAATATGGCAAATATTTATAAGAATCAGTGAGAAAAAAATATTTACCCAACCAGCTCATGATTTGAGACCCACCTAAACTCTTTCAATACATCTTAGGCTAACTCTTTAATTTTGAGGGAAAGCTTAGGCTAACTCTTTAATTTTGGGGTAAACTCAAGCTTTTTTTGTCTGTCATTGTCCAAACTCAGGTTTAAATATTAATGAATTGATTCATGTAGCAATATTGGTGTTGTTTAATAGTGGGCCAATGACCTGTTCCTCTGAATCTTAACATAATTGTTAGTGCAGCAATCAAGCCCGGTCAACTCTCCTCCAATTCCTCTGCAAGATCTTCTCCTTCATTGCATTGATTAGATATTCGCTGTCACTGATTCTAATTACTGATTCATTGTAATTGATTGTATTTTATATTTCTTACCTTTTGTATCTCTACTAGAGTCTGTATATAAGCTGTATCAAACCTAATGAAATATTTATCAGGAAATTCTCCTTTACATGGTATCAGCCTTTTAATTCTTCCTCTGAAGTCTCAGCCTCCCTTTCAATTCTTTCCGATCCTCATGGCCTCCTCTCTTCCTGGTCCTAACACCTCCCACTTCCTCAAACTTGAAGCCTCCAATTATCTTCTCTGGCTCCGCCAAATAAAACCGTTTCTCATTGGTCATGACCTCTGGAAGTTTGTCGATGGCTCAAATCCTTCACCCTCTGAATTTATCACCTCCACTACCACTACTCCCTATGTTGCCTCCAACACTCCCTCCACAACCACCACAGTCACCAAACCAAACCCTGAATTTCTATCTTGGTACCAACAGGACCAACTTGTCGTCAGCTACATCACCACCACTCTATCGCCTGCTGTTCTCTCCTTAACCATGGGTCATGACTCTGCCCAATCAATCTGGGAGTGCTTACAAAACCATTATGCCCAACGCAATCTTGCGAGTGCGTCAAGCCTTCGTTTCCAGCTTCATGACATGACCAAAGGATCTCAAACCATAGATGAGTACCTCAATCATGCCAAATCTCTTGTCGATGCCCTCTTCTCCATTCAAAAGCCTATCTCCGATGAAGATCTTGTCACGGCTGTCCTCCGTGGTCTTGGTTCTGACTTCACCATGCTTGTCACCACCATCCTGAATCAACCCGCTCTCCCAAGTTTCAATGACCTCCGCTCGCGTCTGCTGGTCTTTGAGAACCAGACCTCTCGCTCCTCGGCCTCCGCAGCCCATAGCACAGCCCTCATCACCACTCACCCTCCTTCTCAGCCAGCCTCATCCATCTCGCACCAAGGATCCTCCCACCCACGCGGTGGCTCTCGTGGCGGGCGCCATGGTGGTCATCGTGGCTTCTCTCGTGGTGGCCCCCGTCGTGGTGGTTTTCATCGCTGGCCTAATTCTACACATCCTGGCTCCTCATCCTCTTGGCACAACCCTTGGAATGGTTATCCCTCTCCTCGTGGATCTGCCTCACGGCCCACTTGGAATCAACAAGGAATCCTTGGCCCAACTCCCCCAAATTGGTGCCCCACGTGTTCTACCACTCAGCATGCTGCTGCTCAATGCCCCCACAAGTATTCTGGGCCCGAAACCTTTCCATCTTTTGCTGGTGCTCATATGATTCAGTCCCATGACCCCACCTGGTATCCGGATACCGGTGCCACTCACCACATGACAGGACAACTCTCATCTCTTCAGCAGCCTCAACCTTATACTGGTAACAATTCGGTATTCATGGGTAATGGTGATTCCCTTCCTATAACGCAAACTGGTAATCTTCCCATTTCCCTTGGTCCCTCTCCCTTCTCTCTTCGTAATGTTTTTGGTGTCCCTCATCTTACAAAAAATCTTCTTTCTGTCGCTCGTTTTACTTAAGATAATCATGTCTTCTTTGTGTTTGCACCAACTTTTTATCGCATTTTTGACTTACACACTGGTGCATTACTTTTTCAGGGCCCCTGTAAGGATGGGTTATACCCCATGTCTCTATCCTCCCCTTCCGCTTCATCTGTTCCTCGTGCCTTCATCACAATCTCCTCCTCCACTTCGCACAACCGTCTTGGTCACCCGTCTTCCTCTGTTCTCTCCAAACTACGCACCCATTTAGGTTCCCCATCTCCCTTCAATAAAGAATTTTGTACGAGTTGTGCGCTTAGCAAGTCCACTCAATTACCATATTCTATTAATCAAAATCATGCTCCCTCTTTATTTTATTTTATTCATTCTGATGTGTGGATGTCTTCTATCCCTTCTGTGAGTGGCTTCCGTTACTATGTATTATTCACTGATGAGTTCTCCCGCTATTCATGGATATATCCCCTGAAACACAAATCTGAGGTCTTCACTCACTTCAAAACCTTCACAGCAATGATTCAAAATATTTTTAACTCTTCTATTAAATTCCTCCAAAGTGATAATGGTACCGAATACGTCAATCATGCCTTCTCTGAGTTTTGTAAATCTCGTGGTATTCAACAACGCTTCTCTTATCCCCACCCCCTCAACAAAATGGCCTTGCTGAACGTAAACATCGTCATATCGTTACCATGATTCGCACTCTCTTAGTCACATCCAAAGTCCCTTATCATTTTGGGCCGACGCTGCCCTTACAGCTGTCCACTTAATTAACCTAACCCCTACACCCGTCCTTAATTAGATCACCCCTTATTCTGTTCTCTTCCGTCGTCCACCTTCCTACTCTCATCTTCGTGTTTTTGGGTGGTCCTGTTTTCCCCATCTTGGTCCCTATGTTTCCAACAAACTTATGAGTCGCTCCATCGAATGTGTCTTTCTTGGTTACAGTCTTCACCATAAGGGTTATCGTTGTCTTGATCCAAAAACTGGTCGGGTCTATATCTCCCGTAATGTAATATTTA